AGTTATTGTATGAAAAATTTTCCTGAGGCATTTGACAGGTGTGGGTCTATAGTTTTTATGCAGGACGGTGCACAGTGTCATACCACCAAATCTGTAGTTCAGTGGCTTAAGGATTGTGAAGTGACATTCTTTAATGACTGGCCAGGCAATTCCCCAGACCTAAACCCTATTGAGAACCTCTGGTCAATGGTGAAACGAAGTTTACCGGGGAAGGATATTAGTCCCATCCTGCGGCTGGAGGCTGCTCTACATGAGGCATGGAATAATATACCACCCCAAACCCTCAAGAATTTGTGTGAGAGTCTTCCTACATGGCTGAGGGATGTGATTAAGCATAAAGGATGCAGCACCAAGTATTAAAATCTCAGTAAGTGTGCAAATATATATATATTACAATCTTTCACGATATGTGTTTGTGTTTTGGTACGTGTATGGGGGAGGGGCGGCATAATGCCATGACTAGCACTGTACATTATTTAGGTATGTATACTGGTCAGAGAGCCCATCGCAAGTACGAGTCGTCAGTAAGTGAGTACATCACTAAGTGAGGAGAGGCTGTACCAACAAACAGCCTCCTTACCTTTGGTATAACTGTTTGATCTGTCTGATGAACTGCTATCATCATCTTCTGAGCACACGGATAACTTTTCTAAAGCTATCACTGACGAGATTGGTTCTTCTTGCCGTAGCGTCGACATGGAAGAAACAGTGATAAGGTTTCTTCCATGTGAATTACTGTTATTTTCCCTAGTTTTCCTTGGTGCAACTTGGAGCCCTTTACATAAATGGAAATTATTTGTTTTCTGTGAATATCTTGAAGAATTTTGAGAGGTATTCCTTGATTCTATTGCATCATCATTCTTTGCTGACGACAACTTGCTTCTCTTACCGCTCTCTCCTTCACAATGTGCATCGTGACTGAAACAAAATCGAAGAATGCCATCGTAAATTTCAGTTATATAATAGGAAAGCAAAATACTGTACACAAATATATGAACTTAACCTCTTCTCCTGTATACAGGAGGAACTTTTGTATTTCTTTTTGGGCCACCCTGCCTTGGTGGGATATGGCTGGTTTGTTGAAAGAAGAAGAAGAGGAATATATGAACTGTGATGTCAGTACCCCTCTGGTATGACAGCAACTGAATGAATGATGGTGAATATATTTTCTCTTTTTTTGGTCATCCACCTCAGTGGAAGATGACCAGACTAATAAAAAAAATTATGCTGTACTCAACATCAACCATGCTTGTGTGAGCATGTTAGATAGAAGTGAGTGGAGGCAAGTGCTTTTTATGATTTGACATGCTGCTGGAGTGTGAGCATGGTAACATTCATGAAAGGATTCCAAGGAAACCGGTTAGCTGGACTTGTGTCCTGGAGATACCTGCACTCTAAAACGGTGGGAATGTTGCAATTCAGAGGACCATCTGAGCTGTAATGTCAGCAAATTTCTGGGAAGACAGTGATTGAATTAATGACATTGAAAAAGTGTCTTCTTTGGGTCAATTATCTCACTGGGAGACAGCCAGTATATACAAAAAATATTACAATTATTTATGCTCATTTACACTATCAGTTTTTCTTCTTTAAAAACTGTAGTGTAAAGCACCCTTCTGGCAAGACAGTGATGGAGTGAATGATGGTGAAAGTTTTTCTTTTTTGGGCCACCCTGCCTTGGTGGGAACCGGCCAGTGTGTTAATAAAAAAAATAATAAAAATAATTACACTATCACAAAAGGCTCTTACCTTTCTTGTATTCGTTCCACTAGATGTTCAGTAAGTGTCTGAAACTTCCCCTTTAGATTATTTAAGTGTTCATAAAAGTGTTCTCCAAGTGACAACGCAGAAGAGTCGTCACTGTCAGTGTGTGACATACCGGACAATGATGATGACGTGGCGTTTACCTCAGGCTCACTCAGCTCCTCTGGAAAACAATGTTAATGGCAATAGTATTAAAAAACATTTATAAAGAACAATTTGAATAAAAGATAATCATCTCCATGGAGAAGAATCCTTCCTCTGTTAAGCCGCGTGTCAAAAGAGGCAACTAAAATGTCATGAGCAAGGGGCTAGTAACTCCTTCTCCTGTATATATTACTAAATGTAGAAAGAAAAACTTACGTTTTTCTTTATAGGTTACCCTGCCTAAGTGGGAGATGGCCTGTGCATTAAAATAATAATAATAAATAATAATAATAATAAATAATAATAATATTAATAATAATAATAATAATAATAATAATAATAATAATAATAATAATAATAATATAATAATACTGAGAATAATGGAACTCAGTTCTAATATACATTATTTAGGTATGCAAACTGGTCAGAGAACCCGTCCTAAGTCAGAGTCGTCGGTAAACAAGTACATCGCTCAGTGAGGAGAGGCTGTATTATACACAGTTTGAGAGATCCCCAATGTGTTTGTGAGTTGAAGACTTCCTATATACCCTTTTGCCTGATGGTGTACATAAACCATTTACAAGTTCTTTATATTCAAAATTCCTCCAATATATGCAGTATACCTCACCTTTGATATACCTCTGATGAGTCCCGAGAGTTTTTCTACTCCCAGAGCCTGGCATGCTGGAAAAACTAATGTGAATCATGCTAGCTTGGTTGAAATAACCCAGAAATCATGCTAGCTTGGTTGAAACAACCCAGAAATCATGCTAGTTTGGTTGAAACAACCCAGAAATCATGCTAGTTTGGTTGAAATAACCCAGAAATCATGCTAGTTTGGTTGAAATAACCCAGAAATCATGCTAGTTTGGTTGAAATAACCCAGAAATAATGCTAGTTTGGTTGAAATAACCCAGAAATCATGCTACTTTGGTTGAAATAACCCAGAAATCATGCTGGTTTGGTTTAAATGACCCAGAAATCACACTAGTTTGGTTGAAATAACCCAGAAATCATGCTAGTTTGGTTGAAATAACCCAGAAATAATGATAGCTGGGTTGAAATAACCCAGAAATCATGCTAGTTTGGTTGAAATAACCCAGAAATCATGCTGGTTTGGTTTAAATAACCCAGAAATCATGCTAGTTTGGTTGAAATAACCCAGAAATCACACTAGTTTGGTTGAAATAACCCAGAAATCATGCTAGTTTGGTTGAAATAACCCAGAAATAATGATAGCTGGGTTGAAATAACCCAGAAATCATGCTAGTTTGGTTGAAATAACCCAGAAATCATGCTGGTTTGGTTTAAATAACCCAGAAATCATGCTAGTTTGGTTGAAATAACCCAGAAATCATGCTAGTTTGGTTGAAATAACCCAAAAATCATGCTGGTTTGATTGAAATAACCCAGAAATCATGCCAGCTTGGTTGAACTAATTTACAAATCATGTTATACATACTGTACAATTATTTAACTTACCTATGACCTCTAAAACTCTGTTGGTTGTAGTATTGAGGCGTAAGTGTCCGAGATCTGCACCGATGCACTCTTCAGCTTCTGCTTTCATACACAGCCAAGACTCAATGCGAGTCTTCTCGGAGGGAGATACCTGCGTGCTTCGAAGAATTTCAGACAGCAGGTCTTCGGCGCTCGAAACGAGCAGTTGCCACTGAGATGCGGCAAACTGAAATCTGTAATACATTATCAACATTAATTTTTTTTTTAACAACACATTAGCTACTTCCCACGGAGGCTGGGTGGCCCAAAAACGAGGAAATGCTTCCGCCCTAACTCATTCCATCATCATAATAGTCCAGTTAGCCAGACCTGGGTCCTGGACTTTAAAGGAGGGGTTTGGGATATTGGCTGTTTGGAGTGACATCTAAACTGTCATATCTGAGCACCTCTGCAAAGACAGTGATTATGTATGAATGATGGTGAAAGTGTTGAATGATGATGAAAGTTTTTTTCTTTTTTTGGGTCACCCTGGCTTGGTGGGAAACGGCCAACGTGTGAAAAAAATAATAAAAATATATTTTAATTTTAGCACGATACAGTGGCTGTACAAAAAGAGAATGAATGACATCTGGTGTACATGCTGAAAGCCTCTATAAATGCAGAGCATTTCAGGCAAACTTAAGACTATCTTAAGATTAAGAGGGCAATAACAATAAGTTGTAAATTTAGGAGATTACAATGAATATGAGTTAATTGAAAATCATATTAGTTTATTCTATATGGTATTAACCCTTTCAGGGTCCGTCCCGTAGATCTACGGCTTTACGGTGAGTGTCCAAACCGTAGATCTACGCCATGAGCTCAGCTCACTCTGATAAACTGTGAGTGGTACATTTGGGCCTAGATATGAGAGAATACATCTATGTGGTATGTGTGCACCACATAAAACAGATCCTGCAGCACACTGTGTATAATGAGAGAAAAAAACTGAAATCATGATTTTTCGATTAAAACAGCAACTTTGCAGTGTTTTTTCATATGTTTTTTATAGTTGTATTTGCGATTTCTTGGTCTCATTTGATAGAATGGAAGACATATTACAGAAATAGAGATGATTTTCATTGGTTTTAGCACTGGAAATGGCTTGAAACTGAGCTCAAAGTAGCGGAAAATGTTAAATTTTTGCCGATATTCAAGAGTAAACAAACGACCTCACACGTCTAATACACGTCAGCTGGTGGGTCTAATATACATTCACAAATATGGTGATGATATTTATACAATTATTACAGTATTGCATAACAGTAAATCTTCTATTTTTTGGTGTGAATAAAAAATTCATTATGTGAATAAAAAATCAAAATGGAATTTATTTGTAAAGCTCAAAACATAACTAATGAACAGAGGAAATGTTAGTTTAGTGCCAGGAATGCCTACATTGTTTATTCTGGACCCTATTTTGAAATTGGAATATTTTGAACTTTGTGTTAAATTGGCCAAATTAACAATTTCCGATCACTTTATTTTGTAGTTGAAACAGTTGACTTGGCGATTTCTTGTGCTCAATCGATAGAATAGAAGTAATACTAGTGAAATAGCTAAGAATTTGGTTGATTGGAATAATGTAATTGGCCTAAAATGGGAGTCAAAGTCGGCAAAATCGCCGATTCGTAAACATCGCTGACACATCAAAATTCGCGAGAGCATAATTTTGTCAATTTTCCACCAAATTTCGTACTTTTTGTTTTATTACCTTCACAAAAAAATTCTCTACGATTTCATAAGAAAAAATAACAAATTTTTTTTTTGAAAATTCTTGGACACTGGTGCGTGACTCCAGATTTGGGCCTTGGACCCTGAAAGGGTTAATAAGTGTAATGGAGAGAATTACAGGTTTGGAAGGGTTACAGATAGTAAGAGTAAGCTTATGTTGTTTACAAAGTTTTACATATGTTCATGATATTGAGAATATTCATTTATAGCTTTTACATATTTAGATGATGCTGGGATATGTTAGGGAGATAGGTGCTTTTTAACAGTAGTTTTGAAAATGCTTGTTGAGTTAGTGGTTCTGGAGATTTCTTGCAAAGTTCCAGATTCTGGGCCCTTTAACCCTTAAACGGTCCAAACGTACATATACGTTCATGCGCGTAGCGCCCCAAACGTATATATACGTTTCTTTTGTCATTCATTCAACATTGCCACAATAAGCCTGAGTCACCTAGACATGAGAGAATGGGTGTGTGCACTCACTGTGTTCCATATTAAAATAATTGGGGATGCCTGGGTACCATATGCTCTTTTTTTTTTTCCTCAAAAAATTTGGGCGCTATGCGCCCCAATTAAGGTAAGGTTAGTACATTTATTTTTGAGAATTTAGCCAGACATGGGAAGTCATAGAGTTTTTGTGCTACTATTATTCACAGGTCTGTTGCTAATTGACAATGTGCACTCTTGGGTATCTTTATTGATGAACTTTCGCCACAAGTGGCTTCATCAAGATTATTCAAGATTGCTGGACTGAACACTTTTCTCCAAGTTTGAGGGACTGTTACCTCATTTCCTCCTGTTCTTCAAGTTTCTCCAGGTTAATGGTACTAATGAAGCCACTGTGTGCGAAACATTTCCTCAAAAAGTTACCCAAGAGTTGCACATGTGTCTAATTTATCAACATGTCGGTTCTCTGAACCATTCATCTACAAGGTCCTGTTGCAACTATCAAGAAAATGCTTTAGTTTGAGATTTATATTAGAGTGTACTGCTGTGAAAATGTAGGTTGAACAGTAGTAAGAGTGAATGTTTTCTGTAAAGTGAGCAAGTTTAGGACTTTGAAGAGTGGGGAAGTGTGTTGTCTAGCAGTGAACTGTTTGATCATATGCACTGCAGCTTTTTGTTGAATAATTATTGGCTTTAGATGAGTTGTTGTTGTGGTTCCCCAGGCACAAATAGCATCCCCAGGCACAAATAGCATCCCCAGACACAAATAGCATCCCCAGACACAAATAGCATCCCCAGGCACAAATAGCATCCCCAGACACAAATAGCATCCCCAGACACAAATAGCATCCCCAGACACAAATAGCATCCCCAGACAAAATCAGCAATCCCCAGATGCACAAATAGCATCCCCAGACACAAATAGCATCCCCAGGCACAAATAGCATCCCCAGGCACAAATAGCATCCCCAGGCACAAATAGCATCCCCAGGCACAAATAGCATCCCAGACACAAATAGCATCCCCAGGCACAAATAGCATAGGTGAGGTAGGGGTAGATCAGTGAACAGTACAGTATAAGTAGAGCTGTCTGTGGTACATAGTAATGTATCTCTGGGAGGATGCTAACTGTTTTGGATACGTTTTTTGCTATGTGTTGAATATGGGTGTTGAATTTCAAGCGTCTGTCAAGGTGCAGACCAATGAATTTTCCCTCATTATGTTTAACAATAAGGGTATTGTTAAGCATAATGTTTAGTTGGACCTCTCTTGCTCTACTTCCAAACATAATATAGAAGGTTTTGTCAATATTATGTGTAAGCTTAACAGCAGTAATCCAGGTCGATGTTTTTACGAGTTCTTCATTAAGAGAAGTGTTAAGTAAGGCAAGATTAGGGTGGGAGATTACAAAATTGTGTCATCAGCAAAGAGAATAGGTCCAAGTTGTTGCAATACGTTTGGGAGGTCGTAGATATATAAGAGGAAAAGTTGGGGGCCAAGAACGCTTCCCTGTGGTACACCAGTGTCCAGAGGTCTCGCTGCGGAGGTTGCTCTATTAGTAGAGACATATTGCTGTCTATTAGTAAGGTAAGACTTGATATACATAAGTGCATGTCTTGCCAGAGGGATGCCATTACTAGAGTTAATGAATCTCATTAGTGTGGTTGACTAAAACTTAAGCAACAAATGTGAATGTCTATAATTTGGGGATTCATCAGCTGAGTACTCTCTATAATTTAACAAACATACTTAGAAATCTGTTAATCAAGTCTTTAATTAACCTCATTAGTAAGTGTGAATGTCTATAACCTGGGGAATCATCCACTGGGTATTCTCTATAATTTAGAAAGCTTACTTGAACAAGTCCTCAGTATCTAGTGATCCAGCATCATCTAAGGCTGCTACAGAGGTGTCGTTGGTCGCTGTTGACTGCTGGACGAGTTCCTAACGACTGTTGTACGCTACTCTGCATGGCAGTCAGTGTAGACTGTCCACTGTCTGACTGATGCTGTAGAGCAAACTCGTTATTTATTACCTTCCATATCATCTTTATCTTTTTATTTGAAAAACAGTGAACTCTCTTATAAAGCTCCTCTATACAGGTGCTCCTCGACTTACGATGAGGTTGAAGTCCAAATATGAATATACGATAAATAAATGGGTAAATAAATAACTACTGTCACTGAATAAGTGAATAAACCACTGAATGTGCATTGCCGTCATACCATCGTAAAAGTTGAACAATCATAAAGCGAGGAGCTCCTGTATATCGAGTTTTTGTGAATGCAGTTGCAAACATGCAACTGTACTACAAGGACCTCTCCACATGCTATTTTGAAATGTGCTTTTCATTTGCCTTTACTTAACCCTTTGGGGGCTTCGGCCGTACTAGTACGGCTTACGGCCCAGGGTTTTTGACGTACTAGTACGCCTAAATTCTAGCGCCCTCAAATCTAGTGGGAGAAAGCTGGTAGGCCTACATATGAAAGAATGGGTCTGTGGTCAGTGTGCACAGTATAAAAAAAATCCTGCAGCACACAGTGCATGAGAAATAAAAAGCTTTGGCCATTTTTTGAATAAAACAACGACTTTGCACTGTATTTTCGTATGGTATTTATTGTTGTATTCTAGTTTTCCTGGTCTCATTTTATAGAATGGAAGACATATTACAGAAATTGAGATGATTTTGACTGGTTTTACAATGAAAAGTACCTTGAAATTGAGCTCAAAGTAGCAGAAATGCTCGATTTTTACCAAAGTTCAAAAGTAAACAAATCATGCCAAGCGTCCAATACACGTCAACTGGCAAGTCTAATATTCTTTCACAAGTGCGCTGATATTATTTATACCATTTTTACACTAATGCAGTAGTCTGCATAACAGTAAATCTTCTATTTTTTGTGAGAATAAAAATTCAAAGTGGAAAGCAAAAGAATGTAAGAGGGGCATTGGGATGTGACTAACGAACAGAAGAAATGTTATTTTAGTGCCAGGAATGTCTTTCTTGTTTATTCTGGACGCTATTTGGAAATTGGCACTTTTGAATTTTGTGTGAAACTGGCAAAATTGCAAAATTCTGACCACTGTATTGGATAGTTGAAATTGGTAAATGGGTGGTGTCTTGCACTCATTCGATAGAAAAATGGAGTTCTAGCAAAATATTCATGTTTTTTGTCAGATTGTACAGTGGGATTGCCCGAAAATAGGGCTCAAAGTGGGCAAAATCGCCGATGCGTAAACATCGCCGAGACTGCTAACTTCGTGAGAGCATAATTCCCTAAGTTTTCCATAAAATTTATACTTTTGGTGTCATTATGATCGGGAAAAGATTCTCTATCTTTTCATAAGAAAATTTTTTTTTAGTTTTTTTTTGAAATTTGACCGACCCTTGAGAACGAGTCTCGGAGAGGGCCTGTCGACCCTCAAAGGGTTAAAAAACATGCATTGTGTAAAGGAGCTTAATAAGAAAGCTCACTGTACACAGGTGCTCCTTGACTTACAATGGTTCAACCTACAATATTTCAGCTTTACAATGGAGAAGAAACTTGAGATAATTGTCAAGCACGAAAGTAGCAAATCCATAACTTGTTGCATTAATTTCTTTACTTGTCAATACTGGTATTTAGTTACAGTAATTATTAGTTTATTTACTTATTTAATGACAGTAGTTATTCATTTACTTATTTATTAAGCATATCATATTAATATTCAACTTATGATGGGTTCGTCGGAACGCATTCCCATCGTAAATCAAGGAACATGTATATATTCTAGGCTAAATCACATGTTACATGACAAGAATTCAAATGCATTAAAAAATGTTTACTCTTAGATTTGTGTGTGCAGAACAAGGAGTCGTGGTGGTCGTTGACCCTCTTGCACTGTTTTGTATTGCCATGTTGACAGCAGGACAGTTAAGGATGTAGCGTGCTAGGACACCGTACTTGAGTGTATTAAACGTAGCGTCGAAATCTTCGGGTGATGGCGACAAACAACACAACATTAAACTTAAACTGTTGCCTCCAAAGGCATCCTGAAAAACAGCTGTTGTTTAGAAAGGACAAGCATTCGAGAATAACAAAATCTCAAATATTATTATTATTATTTTTCAAGACGTGGGTCATCTCCCACTAAGGAAAGTGACCCGAAAAAGAAGAAACATGTACAGCATAAAATATTCAACGATTGTTTTCCCAGGAGCGTCCTGATCTTATAGATGACCCACTTAACTGTAACATCCTCACTCATCCTTCAGAGTACAGGTACTGTACTTCCCACCTCCAGAACTGTAACATCCTCACTCATCCTTCAGAGTACAGGTACTGTACTTCCCACCTCCAGTACTGTAACATCCTCACTCATCCTTCAGAGTACAGGTACTGTACTTCCCACCTCCAGAACTGTAACATCCTCACTCATCCTTCAGAGTACAAGTACTGTACCTCCCACCTCCAGAACTGTAACATTCTCACTCATCCTTCAGAGTACAGGTACTGTACTTCCCACCTCCAGAACTGTAACATCCTCACTCGTCCTTCAGAGTGCAGGTACTGTACTTCCCACCTCCAGAACTGTAACATCCTCACTCATCCTTCAGAGTGCAGGTACTGTACCTCCCACCTCCAGAACTGTATCAACCTCACTCATCCTTCAGAGTACAGATACTGTACTTCCCACCTCCAGAACTGTAATATCCTCACTCATCCTTCAGAGTGCAGGTACTGTACTTCCCACCTCCAGAACTGTATCAACCTCACTCATCCTTCAGAGTACAGATACTGTACTTCCCACCTCCAGAACTGTAACATCCTCACCCATCCTTCAGAGTGCAGGCACTGTACTTCCCACCTCCAGAACTCAACTCTGGCTAACCGGTTTCCCTGAATCCATTATAAAAATCACTTGCCTCCACTCACTCCTGTCTAACATACATAAGCCTGCTGTATGTCAAAGCCCTTAGTACTCAAAACCTCCCTTATCCATTCCCTCCAACCACTCTTGGGATGACCCCCTACTTCTCATCCCCTCCACCCCAGAATTATACACCCTCATTGTCATCTTATTTTCTTCCATCCTCTCTAAATGTCCAAAGCACCTCAACAACCTCACCTCAGCCATCTGGATAATACTTTTGGTAACCCAACACATTCTTCTAATCCCCAAGCTACAAATTCTCTGGATGATGCTCACACCACACATTGCCTTTAAACAGGATATCTCCCCTGCCTCCAGACTCCACCTTACTGTAACATTTAAAATCCATGCTTCACACCCACAACCCAGTATTGGTACCACTGTACTCTAGTACACTCCCATTTTTTGTCTTCATGTATAATGTGCTTTGTCTCCACAGAAGCTTCAATACACCACTTGAGATAAGTGACTCTATAAAAAAATACAGAATCAATACCCTGGCTGTAATGATCTAACAAGAACCCACACTTCAAAGTTAATATTTTTGGTGAATAAGAGAATTCATTTATGTGTATGACAAAGTACCTGTAAATACAGTAGGACCCCTGTATCCGCGAGGGATATGCTCCAAGGACCTGCCGCAGATACTGAAACTGCGGATAACAGTGAACCCCACAGACGTCATTTTTCGTTTACATACATACCCATTATAAAGTTTAACTGATAAATTGTGCACAATTAGTGGAGAATTATCACTTTTTCAATGATGGGAAGCACTTCACAGCTTCTCTTAGGCTTTGAAGAACTGCCACCATCACTACTTTTACACTTGGGTATAATTATAAAGCAAAATTATGGGTTATTTTGTGCCACTGTGGATAACTGAAACTGCAGGTACCAGACCTGCAGATATGGGGGTCTTACAGGAGTATGATTTCTTGTAAAAGCAATTGAAAAAGTGCACTCAAAATTGAAAAAGTGCACTCAAAATTGAAAAAGTGCACTCAAAATTGAAAAAGTGCACTCAAAATTGAAAAAGTGCACTCAAAATTGAAAAAGTGCACTCAAAATTGAAAAAGTGCACTCAAAATTGAAAAAGTGCACTCAAAATTGAAAAAGTCCACTCAAAAAAAATTGAAAAAGTGCACTCAAAATTGAAAAAGTGCACTCAAAATTGAAAAAGTGCACTCAAAATTGAAAAAGTGCACTCAAAATTGAAAAAGTGCACTCAAAATTGAAAAAGTGCACTCAAAATTGAAAAAGTGCACTCAAAATTGAAAAAGTGCACTCAAAAATTGAAAAAGTGCACTCAAAATTGAAAAAAAAAAAAAAGTGCACTCAAAATTGAAAAAGTGCACTCAAAATTGAAAAAGTGCACTCAAAATTGAAAAAGTGCACTCAAAATTGAAAAAGTGCAACTCAAAATTGAAAAAAGTGCACTCAAAATTGAAAAAGTGCACTCAAAATTGAAAAAGTGCACTCAAAATTGAAAAAGTGCACTCAAAATTGAATAAGGCATATAACCTATCCACACGCTATTCACTATCTTTTTTTTTTTTTACACAAAGGGTTTGACAAGGTTAGGTTAAGGCTCCCTAACTTTATATAGTCACACTTACAAATATTTTTTTTTAACACACCGGCCATCTCTCACCAAGGTAAAGTGACCTGAAAAAAGGAAAGAAAAGTTCTTCCATTTGCATTTAGTAATTTATGCAGGAGAAGGGGTTACTATCCCCTTGTTCCTAGCATTTTAGTCGCCTCTTATGACACTAGTGGCTTACGGAGGGAGAATTCTTCTCTGCTTCCCCAAGGAGATGCACTATATTAAAAAACTGACTGATTATCAAGGTTATACTATAGTATTAACTTAATCATTTACAAAAGTTTACCCTAGCAAATTAAAGCATAATATGGATGTGGATAGGTCAGGTTCAGCACCGTAATACACTTTATTAACCAGGATATAAACAAGATTGAATTCTTCATAAGCCATGTGTGCTGTAAGAAACGACTAAAATGCCGGGAGCAAGAGGCTAGTAACCCCTTCTCCTATATGAATTACTAAATGTAAAAAGAAAAACTTTCGCTCTTCTTTTTATCATTATTACACACAATAATGATAAAAAGAAAAGCTTTCGTTTTTCTTTTTATATCACCCTGCCTTGGTGGGAGATGGTCTGAATATTGAAAAAAAAATAAACAGATACTTCTTGACTTATGATTGTTCAACTTACAATATGGAACTTAGGAAAAATTACCCAGAATGAAGGCAGCAAGTCCGTAACTTGTATTCATTTATTATAATACTTTCCAATACAGTGGACCCTCGCCTAACGAACGCATCGCATAACATTAAATCCGCCTAGTGATACATTTTAACACAAAAATTTTGCCTCAGCTATCGCTAAAAAACTTGCTCAACGCGATTCATTCGAGACGTGTCCACGTGCGGCCTGAGTTCGCCTCACTTGTTCCGTGGGTGCCAGTGTTTACAACCAGCCACCGCGGTCGCTTCCAAGCATACAATTGGAACATTTCATATTATCACAGCCTTTTCAGTGATTGCACCTGCAAAATAAGTCACCATGGGCCCCAAGAAAGCTTCTAGTGCCAACCCTACAGCAATAAGGGTGAGAATTACTATGGATATGAAGAAAGAGATCATTGCTAAGTATGAAAGTGGAGTGCGTGTCTCTGAGCTGGCCAGGTTGTACACAAAACCCCAATCAACCATTGCTACTATTGTGGCCAAGAAAACGGCAATCAAGGAAGCTGTTCTTGCCAAAGGTGCAACTTTGTTTTTGAAACAGAGATCGCAAGTGATAGAAGATGTTGGGGAGACGTTTATTGGTGGATAAACGAAAAAAAGATACGGAATAGCATCCCCAAGGTATATGTGAAAAGGCTGGGAATTTGCATGACGATTTTAATTAAAAAATTGCTTGCAATAGTGATGATGTGAGTGTTTTTAAAGGCCCAGAAAAGGGTTGGGTTTTGAGAGATTTAAAAAGCGAGGGGGCATAAATAGGTGAAAGGGCATGGGAGGTGCCATTCGACCACAAAGAAACGAAAATAGGGTCGGATTCAAGGGAAAGTACATAGACAGTAAAGGAATAAAACCCAAAAAAAGTTTTATTGTGACGAAACAGGCCTGTTTGGAAAAAAAATCCAAGCGGACCACATTACTGAGGGGGAAAAGGCACCCCGGGACATAAGCCTATGAAAGACGGGCTTACTCTTTTTGATGTGTCCCCAATGCTAGGGGTGATTGCAAAATGAACCCTTATTGGTGTTCACTTGAAACCCCAGGGCGTTCGGGAAAAAAACAATTCCTAAAGGCAAATTTTGGGCTGTGGGGGGCAAACAGTAAGGCAGGGTCACTAGGATTTTTTCTATGACTGGTTACCCCCAAGCATTGCCCCCACTGTAAAAAAATTACCAAAATAAAAAAAAATTAGACCTTAAGTGCCTCCTGGATTAGCCCAATGCTCCGGTTACCTTAGGTGGCAGGCGATTTTCTGGGGGAAATGAGCTTCTTTAAAGGCAATTTTTGCTCCTAATCCACTCCTTTCCTGCAGCCCATGGACCAGCAGGATTTCCAATTCAAAAACTGTACAAAAAAGCTCTGTTGAAAGGTGCTTTTTTAGTGCCACAGAAACTCAAATTTACTCTAGAGAGTTTTGGGGGAGACACTTTAAAAATCCCCAATTGTGTAAACCCTTTGGTAAGGGTTGGGAGGGAGTGTAAGAGGACCGCTTGCTTGGAAGAAACGTGGGCCCAAATGTTAGACCAAGGGGTTTTTAAAAGGGTTTTAGGCTAACCTTGGAAATCCTATGCCAGTTTAGGAATCCACTGTGGCATTGGGGGGAAAACCTTGGGGTTGGAGGGTTTGTGGGGGGAGGGAAGAGTTCTGAGAGGACATTGAAGAACTAAAACTGAAACTGCTGATCATCTTCACAGCAAAAGGCCACACCTGAGGAAACTGCTTCGGAGGGGGGAGAGAAAAAATTGGGAAGTTTCCTACTTCAAAAATTAAGAAATGTGTGCAATGTGGCTTAAAATGCAAACCTTTTTGATGAAAATCACCCTCCACAGCTATTGAAGCCGTTCTGGTGACT